AACTATGTATAGAAAAACGGCCATAGAAAATGTAATAATACATTATTTATTATATATTCATTGTACTGTGGGTGAGTGGGGAGCAGGTCGTCCTCCAATCACAGGGTTGTGGGTTCGATCCCAGGCTCTGCTAACCCGCATGTCGTTGTGTCCTTGGGCAAGACACTTAACCAACATGCTCCTGTAGCTGCGACTACAGCGTGTGGATGGTAGTGACTGATGGACAGGTGTCACTGTGTGTGGTTCTCCTGTCATCAGTGGGTGAATGATGTCATGTAGTGTTAAAGCGCTTTGAGTGGTCAGAAGACTACAAAAGCGCTATACAAGTACAGGCCATTTACCATTTACCATTATTGTGTGTTATACTGAGACTAAATATTAGAACCATTTTAAATGTTTTAACCAAACATTAACATTAGAACCGTAAAGTAGGAATTACAGCAATTATCTCACCCTATTTTTGAAATATCATCAGGCAGAGAAATGAATTAACTCTTGTTTTAAACACATGCAGTAAACCAACACAAGCAAGTGAATAATACTCTACTAATAGCACTGCTGCAGAGCCTTTGACACAGCACAGCAAACACAGTGAACATAATCCTGTCCTCGAGCCCGTCCGCTACGGCTGCTTTTCCATTCACGGCTGATTCAACTGTTTTTGTTTGTTCTTCAAATTCCTCAAAATATAATAACTTTTAAAAGAATGAATTATGTTTCTGAAAGGAATATAAATAAATGATGTAGAATTGAACAACCCTCGATCTTGTATTGTTTTCAGTGTGCCGAGACCAACCGTGGCCCTGGAGCGACCCCGATGTCCCTGAACACGAATACTCACACACAGAACTTTTTGTGAATATTCTGAATATTTTACAACATAGAAGTTGTTAAATATCAAGTTTAATAAACATGTACTGTACAGTGATCTTGTAGAAAGCAATCCATAGCTAAATTAAACTAAAAACTATGAGTTGTACCAAATTGTAAATCCAGTTTGACTACTTGAAAGGCAGCAATTCAACTTGTGTTTTTAAGTCGAACCCCTTGATGTATTTTTACAGTGCAGCGTTGATCTGGTGACTGCGAAGGCGAATGCTACGCTCCTGAACTTTAAGACACACTGTTATGTTTCCACAATCATCTTCCTTTTGACAATACGATCCCATATCCACGACGCGTCGGCAGCCATAACGACAGCCACGAGATTCAGCGTTAATATCTGGAAGATGCTTTCACGTGGCCTTTTGGCCTGTTTGCCAACTACTACTTCAGAGGTCAAGGATTAACTTCTGTGTTTGGGGCGGTTCTCCAACAGACAGAAAGAAAGCAGAATGTCAAAATCAAGAAGCAGGGATGGAGATCGCATGAGTCACAACTTTAAAAAGTACTTGATCCCACATTTCCCATAATGCACCTTTTCACAACTTTTCTCCCAAAACGCCCAGTTTGTATCAATACGTGAACAGCTTATATTGTATACATATATTGTAATTATAATCAAATCCCCTTGTCTGGTCTAGAATACGGTATTTGATTGTAAAATGTTGTATATGTATACATAGCATATTTATTGTATTATCAGCCACATACAGAATTATACTGTCAGCCCGAGAGCAGCTTCTCTCTTTAGGTTGCGAGACCCCTTAATTCATCTTCCATACAACCTCTTTTTTGTGTTTGTGTGTATGAAACAAAATGGGACTGCAAACTGCATATCTTTGCAACACCGACTTCCAAGTACATTTATTTATACAAGTATGTCCTCATTTTACATTTTTAGTTAGAGACCTAATTCTTACATTATTATATGCACTGTTTTATATTGTAGTAAGCATCATTTACATATTTTTACATACTGCATTTACTAAATATAATGTTTTTGTTTTAGAATGGGAGCAGTAATGTAGATTTATGATTTTGGTATATATATTTTATTATATCCTTGCAGATAACTGTGAAGTTTGTCTCATAGTTGCCGTTGTATTTATTCACTAGACCTTAGAGACGGGTCCTTTGTGAGTTTGGAGTTTGTGATATATAAAATTATATATATATATATATATATATACATATATATATATATATATATATATATAATGTTTAAAATAGGGAAAGAACACTGTGGGTGGGAGATGAATAGAAGTGGAGAACAGCAGCTCCCACCACCAACACACGCCAGAGGCCCGTGTGCACGTGTTTGTGTGGATAGTGCATGTTGGGCCCCGAGGGCAGGGAATTTAAAATGAGGCGTCCAAGGAAAACGGCTGAATATTTGAATGTGTATTACTTATCAGATAACGACGAGGTGGCTGTGACCGAACGGGTTAGTGGGACAGAGACGCTTTGACGTCTTCGCTGAAAGCACATGAGCTCTGCCTGGTGTTTCTCCTCTGGAACTACAGAAGACTTTACCCGTCTAACACGTTATGCTATGATGACCGTATTCCTTCTTCCTCCTTTTCTCCAGAAATGAGAACAACCCAAATACAGGAAAGAAAACCTACTGTGCAATAGATCTTTTGCTGTGCAAATATTGTCAGACACAAACAACCACAAAATACAGTGATGTTACCGCTAACCAAGAGACACTATGAATATCAATAAGTCTAAAAGGACATTCTGCTTATCCACTCAGTTAAATCAGACGACTCTCAACACTAATCCTGATATGAGTTTAATATGAAGTAACGTGGCTACAGTTAGCTAAACTCAGCTTAGCTTAATACAATGACAACGGGTCATTTTTAGTTTTTGTAACGGGTGAACAAGGAGGTGTAACGTCTGCGTTAATGACCTTTAATGGTGCCTGTTTGTGGATTTTTAATAAGAGTCTTTAAGCTAAAGTTACCTTTACATGAGCGGGGCGTCAATCCAAGCCAGTTATCTTATTGTACTAAACAAGAAACTGAGGGTGACAAACGGCCCAAAAAGTTCACTTAAACTGTCCAGACGTCACAGGAACATCACTGTTCCTTCGTTTGCTTTCGCTGACTTTGGCCAACGTGGAACAAAGGTCGCCTCCCTTTATCTCCTTTAACAGTCACTCCGTTGGCCTCTTGGCTCGTCTCAATGGAACAATGCATCCGCATTACCAGCGGCTCATCCTTGTGATCCCGGCTCCCCGGGGGTCTCGGCCCCCTTCCAGCGGCGTGTGAATGTAGGTCGACGGCGCTGTGATTTGGCGGCCACGTAGTTCGTTTGTTTGTCGGTGTGAAGATGCTACTGTTCGGCGGGAGTCATGAAGGATGTTCTATATAAAATGTTTCCACCCTCATTTTCAGTCTGTAAACACAAGGAAATTCTAAGCAAAAGGAAAATAGAAACATGAAAACAACATTTTGTTTTTGCCTGGTGGAGTAACAACATTAAAACGTGCATTTAATTTAACTTGACATGCGTGTCTCTGTTGTCTCAACTGGAACACGAATAATTTGACCTACACGTTTGCGTTAGATGAGATTGATACAACTCTCATGTTTGTATGCTAAGCTATGGCTGGTGGATAGTTAGCTTAGCATAAAGACTGGAAACGTGGGGACAGCTAGCCTGGTTCTCTCCCATATTTAGAAGAAAACCACCAGAACCTTTAAAGCTCACTAATTGATATGTTTCTTTTACGTTGGTCTCCCCATCCGTCCATACAGAATGATTTAATCTGGGACTCACTGTGATATTTACCTCTTTGTAACATCCGCTATAATTCTATGAAATGACTTTTCTGCAGGATGTATTGCCTCCCCTTGTTAGAACATATCTGTACAATTTATCACAACATTCTCTACAGGCGCCGCTTCAAATTGCAGAAGGTTGCACTTGTTTTCTCCGGGAGAAACGATGTTTCCGACAGATTCCTGAGCAAAGTATTTTTGATGTTGTGCAGAATCCTGGCCTGTAAACAATGCATTCTCCAGAGGGAAAACCATTCAAACCAAGCGCCCGGGCAGCACCTCCTTCAGACGCTGAGAAGGAAAGATGCTTCTGTAGTGTTCCAGCTCGTATCTCAGCTGCAACGTGGAGCAGAAGAGAAAAACAGCAATAGGCCTGTGATTTCTTTTGTTTCTCAGCCCAGAAGCAACACGCCGCCTGCTCCAAATGGATCAGCGCACGGCGATAGATTTGTCTCGTCTGCTCTTCCACGCGCTCGCCCATTCATCCGCGCGTTTATTCACCCGTGCGTTGCAGCGAGCAGCGGCCTCGTGTGACAACGGCGAAACAAGAGGGAGGTAAAAAGGGGGCAGTGTGTTTGCAGAAGAGCCTCATTCCTCTGACACAACAGCTCAGTATGATCCCTGGAACACAATGAGGCCAGCCCGCCTGCACCCTCGGGGCCAGGCGGCAAATAATACCCATAATGCAGCATGTCTGTTTACTGCCGGAATCCCCTACGGCCATACCCGGCTCGGAGAGGGCCGCGCCAGAGACCTGATGCCAGGCTTCAGCCTGTAACACCATTTCCCCGTGCACACCACTTATTATTCGTCTTGTCCCATTCAGCTGGCCTCATGGGCAGTAAGAGGCACAGCCGGGCCCTTCGGGTCTGTAGTGAACACAAGCGTTTAAACCAGCATGCAGACCCTCGTCTCCTCCATGGCGCTCCGTGACCTCGCAGCCATGCGGCTCCTCACACCAACAACAACGCAGTTCAGATAAGGCAGATACGACAAAAACAGTTCTCACACACACACACACACACACACACACACTTCCTTGCAGCCCCGAGCTTGTCAAAAACAGCTTAGATGCAGGAAAATTGAGTTTACTCCCAGAAATAAAACGATTACATGTTTGGTGAATAATTCACAGGTTTGTATGAAAGGTGGTTTGTGAGTGTGAAAGAAACCGCTCGACTGTTTTAGATTTGCGGCCTCAAAGTTGAGGGACTGGGAATTGAAAATACTGATAAGAGCTCTTGGTGTCAAGGGAGTGATGTTGGGACGGGCCACTGTGAAGCTCCACAGCGCCACCCTGTGGTGGAAACAAAGGATGACACTCGTAAACTCGGTTTTGTCTTTTATTTAATAAAAACAGGATAACAGTAGCCTTTAAGCCAAAGGTGAACTCCCACATGGACAGCACGGCAGCTCAACAGGCAGCGATGTGCTCATTCGTTTCAACAAAAGCTCACAGCGTGTAAATGCACTTTGTAAAATCCCTGGACTTGCACGTGGAACGGGCGCCATGGCACTTTTAAGCAACAAACACAGCAAATCCACCCTGTTTGGTACATAAATGCGTCTCACTGGTCCGAAACCTAAAGCAGCGTGCGAGATCGTACGAAGGCCTGAATAAAGGCTGTGTTTCTCTTTCAATGCAACACATTAGAAGCCGTGGAGCCCTCACCCCATGACCCCGTTATATTTACGTCTGCCCTCTCTGGCGCGCCAGCCACCGGTCTTCCCACATGCGGGTCATTGGGCCATTTATACAACTGTTATTCATTACAGTACACAGTGATGTATTCTTGGCTCTGAACGCTGCAAGTACTCCTGGGAGAACCTTTGAATAAATACTTGCCATGCAGCAAACTAAATATAGAAAATAAAAATTATAAAAATAAAAACCCCACATCGCAATCCCAGTTTGTTGACTCGTGCACACAAACCTTTTTTTTCTTTTCATAAAAAGGGAATGATTGTCAGCTTCTATCTGACATTCTCGGTTCTTATGCAAACCCGGGCGCAGACTGCCAGAATCAAACTATGGCACCTGTGGGTGCACGCCGCCCCCCGTACGGGGGTCTGCATGAAGCCCCTCCCCTCCTCCTGCGGTTCCACGCAGGATCCATCAAACCTCCAGATGTTGGTCCTCGGCTCGTGACCAAGTGCTCTTCTCCTTTTCGCCGTCTCCTCCCTTCAGTCACACGTTGATCTTCTTCAGCTGCTCGTATGTGAGGAAGAACTGAGACAGAGTGAAGGAGTATCGATGGAGCCTCTTTCTGTACTTCAGCATCAGCCTCGTTAAACGCCATTACAGCACGATGGCCATCTGACAGACCTTCCTTTCCCCCTGTAGCGCTTTGGCCTTTCAGGACAGACTTAAATAGAACCCCCTCCCCAACTCTGTCCTGTCCCCCCCCCACACTTACCCCCTAACGAAGGCCCCCTAGCTCCTTGTCAACAGAGGCAGCCGAGCCATGATGCAGCAGTTACACCAACTTACAGGAAGAATAAGTTAGCTAGCATTAGGCTAAGCTTAAATCCACTGTGACTCAACCCGTTACTGAATGGAATATGCAGCCCCCCCCCCAATAGAGGACGTATGTTCACGGCGCTCTGATGGGATGGTTGAAGGATACGATGATGTTCCACGGTCCCAGGCGCAGCCAGTTGGGAAAGAAACCCTTGTAGAGCGCCATGACGCCCTCAGAGCGCCACGTCTGAAGAGCAGAAGGACATTAGTCATTTTGTGGTCCGGCCTAGAGGTTCATCACAGCATCAGACCAGGCTTCAAAACCCCAGATCCATAAGTACAAATCGCTTCACAAATCATCTTCTTGCAGCATTTGATCAGACTTTAAAACCTTCTCAAACATGCTGAAGCCCAAGACCAGTCAACGTATTTGTGTTTAGAGGAAAGATTAGAACTTGAACAGGAACCGGTGGAGGTTGGCTGACCTGCAGTATGCAGTCCAGCGTTCCCTGGTACAGAGCGACCCCCTTCTGGTTCATCATACGTGTGCGCACCACGTCCACTGGGTTGGAGGCCAAAGCCCCCGCCAGACCACACGCAAAGCTGGACCTGGAGGACGACAACACACACACACACACACACACACACACACACACACACTTGTGACCTGTGAAACCTTCGTTACATATTAAGTACCAACCAGTCATGATGACGTCAACGCTAGATCCTCTAAGGCTGAGAATATGACCCGATACGCTCACATTCTAGAGGTTCTCAGCTGAGAGAAGGCAAATCTAATGCCGATGGTCTAAATATTGAATCTGAACCGGACTTCAGGTTCCTCTTCCGTACACCCGACATTCAAAATGTCATCACATTAAAGACAGGACGAGCGTCTCCACGCGACTCTGCAAACTCACACAAAGTGGGTGTACACGTTGTCCCCCATGCGACCCGACAGGATCAGGTGCTTCTTGGTGATGTCATAGACCGGTAGCTCAACCCCGACCACGATGGCAGCCCGCTGAGCCGTTAGGGAGACGCCCTGGAGCAGAAGCAACGGTTTACTGAGCCTGTGCTTCCTGTGAGCCGCGGGAGCTCATTTTGCAGACGTACCTTCCACAGTCCCCTTGTCCCCTCCTGCTGGTAGATGTTGATGAAGTTGCCCATCATCCCGCCGTTGATCACATTTCCCTGAGCCTGCATGCGGATCTGGAAGAACCGACAGAGACGGACCGATCGGTGGAGGATGAAAGTATTCGCTATCAGTGCAAGATGCTGAGGGTTTGCAAAGACCAGCGCGGGCGTACATTTATCTGGGTTGCAAAAGGCTAAATGTTTTGGCAGGCGTAGTGTCCCCAAGTGTCCTCCTTCTCCTCACCCTCCTAAATGTCAGGAATCAATTAAGAATTGCTGCGGTTTGCAGATCAGCTTTCGTTAAGAGGATACGTCTGAAAACGCAATGTTCCCAACGCTGGACCCGTAGTCTGTTAAGCCCCAACAAACACCCATCATGGACGGGGTCATGCACGGGGGGGGGGGTAATTACATCCCAGGGAGACGCCGGGCAAAAACATCGTGAGTATAACTAAGCATTTGCACACAGACATCATGGTCATGCGCTCATATCGCTTACAGAACGCCATGTTAAGCCGTAGAGGTTTCCTTCTATAAATAATCCACAAGGGGGGTCTTGAAAGCACTCGGATGCCCCTTCGCCCCACTTGGCATGCTACCCAGTGACCCCCGCCAGCCCCTCAGCACGTTTCTTCTGAAACAATTAGTGAGCAAGAGTCCTACTAGAGGCGGCGCGAATCATTACAGGTCAGACTTTTTGGAGTTGCAGGAAATTGCCCAACGCTGCTTAGAGAGGCGCCGCCGACCCGCCAGAGCAAGAGGACACAAAACAAATAGCTACCTTCAGCACGTCAGTGGGGTTGGCGATGGAGGACGAGATGACTCCAGAGAGAACACCACACATCACGTTAGTCAGCATGGTCTCATCTGTAAAAGGAACAAGCAGCATTTGGGTGGTCGGTCACGGTTTGTCCTCTCAGTGAAAACTAACAGTTACACGTGACGAGGCAGCTACATGTCCACGATCCTACAGCTATGTGTCACGATGGAGGCAGGTCACCGCCGTGGGTGTGTGTGTGTGTGTGTGTGTGTGTGTGTGTGTGGCTGAGGGAGAAAGACAAACTGGGACTCACCTTCCGGCCTGTCAACCAGCAGGCGCTTCAAGCTCTGGTATGTGCCTATTTTGATGGGTCCCATAGGAGGCCTGTCGTAGCATAGCAGGAGCTAATCTGTACAAGTCAAGTCAAGTTATTATTATTTTGGGGCTATAAAGTGACACAACTGAGGTTCCAGAGTCTGCAAAATGCAAGTGAGACGAATAGTTTGGGGGGGGGGGGGGCAAAGGGTAGGGGGGTTACGTGGCTTTCACAAGAACAGGAAGTGCACAAACATGTGAGATGTAAACGCACGCAGGGTTCGAACCGAAGAACAGACGCCTGCAGAGAGTTTAGTAGCAGAAAGAGTCGGAGACGAGCAGGCACCGCTGCAGCGTACTGACCCGGAATAGAGCGCGCGGAGCCCCTCCTCTCGCACGATCCTCGCCATGGCATGGAGCATGCCCCGGTACCGGATCTCTCGGTATCTGCTGTCGCCTACCTGGCCTTGGATTTGAAGACGTGTCTTGGCCAGGTCGATTGGGAAAGTCCCTGCAGCACAAAGCACGGGATGTGATAATCGACGTTAATCCACGCAGCCCCCCACAGCCGCCCCCCCATCTATCACTCACCGCATTCTGCCGTGACGGAAGCGAGTCCGCCGAAGACAAAGGGCCTCCAGTCAACGTTGGACATGTTCTCCAACAACCAGCCGGCGAGCCGCTGCGCTGCTGTTGCGTTTCCACTCACGCGAAGGTCCGCACCTAACGTCGGTATCCCGCCGCGCGCCGCCGCGCTTCAAACCCACGCGGCGCTCGAGAAGCGCAGCCCCGCGTGGCCCCTCCCGCCCGCCGGTGACGAGGGAAGCCCCGCCCCCAACGGCGCACTGTGCCCGCCCAACGGCTGTTGCTAAGCAACCGCAGCAGGCAGCGGAGAGCAGCCGCATTGCTTCCTTTGGTTGTAAATCTTCCTATATTTTAGTACTAGTATTGCACTAGTAATCCTCTAAACCCTCTGACCTTTGTACTGATGGAGATGCTGATTAATGTTGTATTTGCCTCTTCAGTAGAAATCTTTATAGGAGGATGGAATAATTACACACCTGTAACTTGTTATGTAAATCCACTGGTTTTGTTAACATTGTTGCCCATCCCCCTACACTGCTGTCCAGCTGCACACGCAACACATATTAGCACACTGACTATACCAAGTAGGTTTTAATGTATCGCAGAAAGCCTCCTGCTGTCACCCTTTCATTTCATTGTTTAATAGAATTTACAGAAATCGCGGTTAACTTAAACAAATCCTTCATGAATGAAAATGTAAATTTCATCTGTCACTCTTTAAATCTCCTATTTTCTCATATCAGTCTATCTGACTGAGGAGTGTAAGACCCAACAAGTTGTGTTTAATCCAGTTCTAGTTTTCTGTAGTATGGACTGAGTGAGAGCTTTTGATTTCTTTTTCTTCATCTGTTTTTCATTAAACAGTTGTGATTTTATAAGCTCTCTAGAATCTAACTAGAAGTTAAGAGGAACACATAAAGATGAGTCTAACAGATATCACGTCATACGGTAATCCAATGAATTACCTTTCAAAAGAGTGCAAGTGAAACCGACCCACAAGGAAATAGAACATTTCTTGTGCCGCAAAGAGATCAGGGGTCACAAAACATTTAGACTCTTTCAGGAGTTCAAAGAAACCTTTTTATTTTTAGTTATCTGAGTCACTCCTACCGGCGGTAGGAGGCGAAAGGGGACTACAGCCAATGATAATCAGTAGAGAATAACTCTAGTTGAGGAATAACTACAAAAAGGAAACAGGAGACGTAAATCTAAAGGCTCAGTCGTGAATCATGCAGTGATGTCCACAATAGGCAAGCGAGGGTGGATGTGGAGGCCGCTGACCCTTTGACACAACTCGTCTCAGGCTGCAGTATTTGATCTGAGAGGACTGGAATATCACAATCAATGGCCAACATGAGGGCTGGACGTGTTCTCAGCGGCACATTGCCACACTGTGAGGAGGTGGAGTTTGTCAAAGATGAACCTGGAAGCTCTTTAACCCCCCCCTTCAGTGACCTCAGACAATCATTGTTTGACAGGCCGATCATTTGAATAAGACAATAAAACGCTGTGCCCAGTTTCAGTCCAGAATGTAGCTCACTAAGTTAATGAGATCAACTCTCCCCCAGCAGATACTACTGGGTTTTCTGATAAAAGATATCATCATGTCATTTAGTTGATTACTAGGTCTTAATCTCAAGTTTCTTGTCGTTTCCATCTTTATGTATCCTTTGTAAAAATCAAGATGTGAAATGTTATGTTGATAGCATGCTTTCTAAATACGTGCACACTTAAGAAATTCAGCAATAAATACAACATCTATAACACATAAATGCCCCAAAATACCCAATACTAACACAGACAATATGAATATGACGTGTTGTAGAACAATAACAAGACACGTACTTATATTAGCTGGTATACAAACAAAGATACCCAAAGGATCCACTGAGGTCATTCATCAAAACCCATCAATCAGGACCTCGACAGACAGTAAAGTTCATATTTACAAGTAGAACACCTCCACTAGCAGATGTCCAAACATGCCATCGGCTGCTCCACCGCCACAACGACACCAACAACAGAGCAGAGCTCATTCTTCAAGGGTCCTGTTACTGTTACCACGGCAACTGCAACCCGCGACTATTTTGGTGTACGACACAAACACCGAAATACTTCTGCTGCTCACACTCTTTGATCCGCAGTCACAGAGCAAATATCAAATAAACACCACTAATCACAGTGTTTGATTACCAAAATGCAATACTAAAATGTGTCATGCATAACTGAGAAAACTAAAAAAAAAACACGAAGCCTTGAAATGTCCGAAATGTTAAATGTCTTTTAATCACAGCAGACGTGCAGTTCTACTGGTGTTCTGCTGTGGTCCCGCCTCTCTGCCACTAGATGGCAGGACATCCCCACCGTGCTGTTCCTCCCTGGCCCTGTTTAGGCCCGTTATGGACCCCTCTGTGACCACCACTGAGTCCCCGGTGATGGTCACTTTAGATACCAGCCGACTCAGGTCGTCTTAATGAGGAACTCTATCTCCATTCAGCCAATCAGGAGACCCAGATGTGTTTGAATGACAACACGCAGGTAGTGCAGACAGCCGACACAGGGCTTGTTTGTGGAAATAGCTCAGCTTCGTCCTATTTGTTTCCCATCACGTTTGTCCATCTGGTCTCAGCTGCTGGGCAGCGTTGAGTTTGTTCTCCCGGCTGCAAGACATTCACCTGCAGCACTTCTCTGATGATCATATGCTGCGATGTATGGCTTGATTAATGGGTTGGCTTTGGGTCAGTAACCACAGTATTGCCATCAGTACATTATTAACGACCAAGGAGACAAAGGAGTGTGTGTTTGTGTAAATGTTTGTGCACATCTTGTATGTGTGTGTGTGTGTGTGTGTGTGGTACGAGCACCGACAAACGGAAATAGATGGATGGAAATTTTTCAGTTTTATCTGAAAGCAATAAGCGGAGGGAAGCGGGGTGCGCCTGAAAATATCCACGTTTAATGTGGTGATTTGTCAAAAGGAAGCCGGAGCACCGACCTGTGATAGAAGAAGAGAGGAGAGGATATATCTGTGTTTGAGGAGTGAGAGCTCACGCTCTTGTTTGACCTGTGTGTATATTTACTCTGAGGAGAAACGCTCGTCAGAAGCTCTAATTGAAAGCGGTGCTTTCTGCAGTGAAGCATTGACGTGTTCTGCTCTTTTATCTGTTTGAAAATACAACAACACCCACACATTGTGGTTCGAATGGCACTGATTCGCTAACTAACATTGTGACGGTCATTTTTAAGTGTGCGGTTACACAGCTATTGTTAACGGTAAACACCTCTGTAGCCGACACAGACATGGAATATGGAGCTGTATGAATTTCAGACAATTACAGGAGAGCCATCAATCTTATTATTACTTACTTTTCAGAGGAAAATCAATAATAATCAATAATAACTCCCAAAATGTTAACCATGGTGCTGTAGGAGAGACTGTCTTAAGTCTTAAAGGTTGTATTGGTTAGATGCCTAAAATAAGGGCCACAGGCTGGAGACTTAAATAAAATAACCAGTCAATTACCAACTTGTGAATTTTGGTCTGAAAAAAAGGCATGAAATAACATATAATATAAGGTTATAATAAAAATCCTCTTTACAGCGAGCCGTGGTGTAAACAGTTACTACAACAGTGTGGAATCATTTTGTGTTGCTGTCCAGGGAACCAGAGCAACGCTCACTTCTGCAATTTGCATCCAAAAGCAACTCTGCAACTGTGCAACTCCGCAACTCCACAACTCCGTTCCTTCACAGGGTTCATGGGGACGTCTGTCTGCAGAAATGGAAGGTTCACGTCTCTCACAGCCGCGCTGCTGGACGCCGCCAAACCCCACGCACTGCACCTTTAAGCTCACCAGAACGGGGGTGCGTTGCCAGTGGGGTGCTAATGGCGGTCGAGGGGGTTGTTCAAACACGAGCTGCCTTTTCACGCTTAAACATGAGGGTTTAAACACCCACATGTTCTACATCCAGTAAACCTCCGGCCGCTTTCTTTCTGCTTTGCTGTAAATTGGCTTAACTCTGTTTTGTGAATGAGCCCTTTTCTCTCTCAAATGGAACCATCCTTATGCTTCCTTCAATGAAGGTAATTATTTGGAGAGGATAATCAGTGTCAGGTGAAGGCACGAGCACCGCCTCACACACACACACACACACACACACACTCATTGTTCTGGCCCGTCTCTTTGTGGTGAAGTATTCCTGCCCCGTCCTCAGGGCAGCGCTGGACTTAATGGGAAGCGAAGGCTTGTCCACTGTGATTAGTGTGTGTGCGTTTGTGTGCATCTTTATGTGTGTGTGTGTCGGTCCCAGTTGTTTACCGTGGCTCCTCAAACCCTCCAGCTCTGACAGCGCGGACTCATCGCTGCGACGACAAGGGCTCCACGCCGCTCGCCGATTGGCCGGACGTGAGCTGTGAGCGGTGACCTGCAACGCTCCTCCAATCCGCGTCCAGTGTGCGAGAGGCGTGCGTCAGTCACACAAAAATAGCAGGCTTCCCCCTCCCATGAATCCCGTAAGAAGCGCAGATTTATTCCCATGAGTCCGTGCTTTGGATTTGGATTTTGACACCTTATATGGAATCTTTGCTAAACGTCATCACATGAAACCTCCAGGACTTGATGACTCTCCTGTTAATCTCCCGACCGCAAGAGCACTTGTGTGGGTGCGTTAATACGTAAAGCATCTGTGTGCACACACACATGTGAGTCTGTGCTCCCTGGTTGTCCACTGAGCATCTCGCCCCCTCGGGGCTGCTTCCCCCGTCAGCAGCATCCTCCTATCAAGGCCTCCGAAGGGCTGAAGGTGGGAGGTTCTTCACTGAGAGAAAAATGGTCCAATTGGAGAATTTGCGAGGCTCAAGGCCGTTGATGCTGAGCTTAACCTCCAGCGAGCAAGAACCGCTGACTTGCTCTGCCCCTCGACGGCCCTGACGGCGGCCGGGAGGAAAGAGGAGGTCAGCGGCGTGAGCCTTGGAACCGGGCCTGAGGGTTCTGCTGAGCGGCACCAGTCTGTCTGATTCCTCAATTGAAACTTTAGACAAAGATGTATTGTACACACCGGGGAGCAATCGCGTTAAAGCTTTAGAACTTGTGTTGTGAAACAACGCATCGTTTTTCAAGGAAGCAAAAGTCTTCTGAGTCTGTCCTCTTTTTAAAGCTTAAAGCTAAAGTTTGTGACACGTTAGGAAAAGCATGACTTTGTGAAA